GGATCTAGGGTATAGGGTTTAACATAGAGTTGCATGATGGTGCATGTGAGTACCTCATAGTTACTACCCTAAGGCTCTCGGGCCATTTTGAGCCTTAGGGCTAGATTACCATCAAGAAGATAGTCCCTTTCTACTGGTGCTACGTCGAGAAAGGCTCGAGGTTTCTGCGTTCAACGCCAGGATTGCAGCTTCCCGAGCCCATGCCTAGGCTGAAGCATGGCGACACACTAAACATCGGGCCTCAAATTACATAGACTCAATGGGGTTTCGGAGTATGCCATACCGTAGTTACATGAAGCGAACTTACGACAAGAGAGTTGAAATTCCGAACCCCTACCGTAAGCCCAAAGCCCTAAACCCTAAAGCCCAAACCCGAAACCCCTAAACCGAGCTCAAAACTCGAAGCTAGAAACCTTGGGCCTTTATTCGGGCTCCTTATGTTAATATGAATCCTACTATCTTGGGGTTATAGGCCCAGGGTTTCTAAAATCAGGTTCCTACATTAGCCGAAGTGGCCACAGCATGCCAGCGATCGCCGGGGTGAAGTAGAGCGGTACCAACCTCCTGCTGCTCGTGGTGCTATCAAGCTCGTTAGGCTTTAGGGCTTAGAGTTTAGGTTTTAGTTTGGGGTTTAGGGTTTAGGGCTTTTTCTCTAGGAGGTTTAGGGTTTCGAGGTTTAGGGTCTTGGGGTTTAAGGTTTCGTCATAAGAATCTTACCAAAGGGCATGTGGTAAGCGCCGCCAAAATGAAGCCGCTCATTAACGAGAACTCAGCACGCTGCTGGGCTTCCGGAGAGTGCAGGTGTTGAGGTTGCACTGTTCGTGAAGAGTCTCCAGTTGCACAGCTTGGAAAAGAGGGTACTTGAAGGATCCGGGGACAATTTTAAAAGGGGACCTAAGTCAGGCCACCACAATTTCTCCTGCTCATCACATCATACACAGTGTGTCGAACCCTACTGACTCACGAAGTCTCCTGATCGCCCAAAACCCTAAACGCTCATAAAACCTTTACAGAAACCTTTATAACCCCAAGACTCAAGACCCACCATCACTTAAATGCCTGGAAAAATCTACGCAAGCGCGCAACCTATGATTAATGTTTAGAGTAGGCCACAGCCGCGTTGCCTCATGTCGGTAGGACAGCGACGAGCCCTGCACGAGTGGAAGCTGCCTACCCGGTCTAAGTCTCGGTGCGGCTCGGCGCTTGTGGGCTCCAGGTTGTAGGTCTAGGGTTTGGAGCTTGGTGTTTCGGGCTTACAAGATTTGGCATATCAGGCCTAGGATTTATTGATGCGGCTAGAATGTAAGTAAACATCCTAACGTCTCCAGGGTGCATAATCATTACGGACCCACAAGAACCGAGGTTGTGGTCGGCTAAGGTAGGCCCTAGACACACAGTGCACGATGAACCCGAATCAGGCACACAAAAGCCCGCACCCTAGAGCAAACGTCTGCGTAATGCCTTCAACTCGTCTCCAGTCATCCTAAAACTAAATAACCATCAACATCCTGTCTAAGCCGCCGCGGCTATAGCAATTTTATAATCCCTTCCCCCTAATATTAACACCCCCCTTCCCTAATATAAAAAACTTGATTTCGGGGGCGGAATTTGAACACTAGGCGGGGGTATCGGATCGGCGCTGCTTCCGAAACAATACCACCCCTGATATTAAAACTCCCCCGACTCTTATCCCAAGCCTGTAGCCTTCATAATGAATTACTTATTTAAAGCCCTGATAAACCCCAGACCCTCAGCCTCAAACCTTGAGCCCAAAACTTTGAGCCCTAAAGCACGAAGCCCTAAAGCCCAAAGCCCTAAACCTTAAGCCCTAAACCTTGAGCCCTAAGCCCTCAAGCCCAAGCCCTAAACCGGAAAGCTTTAGCCCTGAGCCCTAAACCCCTAAACCCTGAAGCTCTGGTCTCTCCGGTCTGATTAGTACTGCTGTAGTCTTTGGCTCTATTAAAGAACTAATACAATCCTAGGCCCCGCTACTGTTTTAAATCAACTTTCAATTGTGGGCCCGACGCAAAATTCCGGGGGCCGGGAGTTTTGATATTAGGGGGGTTGATAGTTGGGGGGAAGCAATTACTCGTGACACGACACCGAAAGCCTTAAAACCTGAAGCCCAGCACACCGAAATCATGTCAGTGCCCATTCTAAACCCTATATATCCTAAACCCCTAAACGCAGCTTGAAGCTCGGAGTACTCATCTCGCGCCTAAATCCTTAAAGACCAAATGAAGCTTAAGAGGTGAGGCCCCTACATCCCTTTGCCATGAATACCGAATTCCTAAAGTACTTGAACCTTGAACGCTGTTACGGTGCATTTCGTCCTTCCGGATTAACATGGGTAGTTGTCAAAATTCTGGTCCCTTTTTGGGTACCCTAAATATCAGGCGCCGTATTATAGTAGGGACCCGCAAGGGGACCTTAACTTTGACAACCATCCCCATGAGCCTTGTAGATTCCAGGATCCAGTCTGGGAGTTCCACAGGCCGTGTCCTTGCTGAAAGTACTCGTAAGCAACGGCACGTGACGTGATCTGGCGGTTTTCCGGGCGTTGTAAGATGATAGTAAAAAGCACAGACTAGTAAGATGATCGCAAAAACCACGTACTATAGGAATAAAAGCAGCAGCCATATTAGTACTCATAGGTTCGGGCCCATGGGTTTCGAGACTTGGGAATTTTCCGTAGACAACTCCGAGGCCCAAGGTTTCTCACCTGGTTTAGGGTTTAGGGGTTCAGGGGTTTAGGGTTTAGGGGTTTAGGGGTTAGGGGTTTAGGGGTTAGGGGTTTAGGGGTGTAGGGGGTTTAGGGGTTTAGGGGTTCAGGGGTTAGGATTTAAGGGTTTAGGGTTTAGGAGTCAGGGGTTTAGGGTTGAAAGGGTTTAGGCGACCCATGATCACGGACTACACACCGTCGAAAGGCAACCCTGCCTGATGAGCCAATTTGGCAGGATAGCTATAGTTATAATCGCTGAAAATTGGGGCACTTTAGGCCCACATTACTACCCCCTGGACCTCAAAGCCCTTAAACCCCAAACCCCGAACCCTAAACCCTAAAACCCCTATAAGCCCTGAACCCTAAACCCCAAACCCTAGGCCCTAAACCCTAAACCCTTAAACCCTATAAACCCTGAACCCTATAAACCCTGAACCCTATAAACCCTGAACCCTATAAATCCTGAACCCTATAAACCCTATAAGCCCTAAACCTAAAACCTTTCCTCCGGAGCTGGTGACAGCAGGAGGAGCTCCGCTCCCTCGTAGCCATCGGGAGATCCGAGAAACCTCGAGGGTCAGAATTTGATCGTGATTAGGTCCCTTCAGAGTTCCTTAAAAGGGTTCCTTAGAGGGATCTATAAGGCTTCTATTCAGTGGTTCAGGGTTTGGGGTTTAGAGTTTAGGGGTTTAGAGTTTGGGGTCTAGAGTTTAGGGGTTTAGGGGTTTTGGGTTTGGGGGTTTGGGGCTTAGAGTTCAGGGGTTTAGGCTTTAGGGTTTCGGGCTGTAGTGCGTCAGGGCTCAAGGTTCTATCAGTGAGAAGCGGTTTAGGTGGCGTCTGTGTTGGAAGGCTGCTGAACCCCAAAGGTCCCAAGGACCTACTCGGTTTTGGGATAGTAGTTATGTAGGTTAGGATTTCGGAGAGTAATATGATTATTAGGTTCTCGGACCCTTAGGGGAAGGTTTACCCTCTCGCCCATCCTAACAAGCCAAGGCTACAGCAGGTGTGCCGACCTTGTGTGGTAAGCCGAGCCCACCAACCATCTGTTCAGGACTCTGCCGACAGGCTTATCGTTTCCCCTCCCTGTTCTTGAACTGAGCGGGCGGCTGAAACAGGCAGAACACGAAACGGCCTGTGACCAAGCGCAGCAGTAGCTGAAAAAGGCAGATCAGTAAACTCAGCAGGTGCAGCAGAGTGGTCGCTGACTCGGCGACCATTCGATTCAAATGTCGGAAACTCAATGGACACTGTGTAGACATGACATAAAAAACTGCACTATTCATGGAAGCCTAAACCAAGAAAACCCCAAGGAGCACGACGAGAAACGTGCTACGAACTACTGAACTATTAAACCCTAAACCCAAAACCCAATTGAGGAAAGACTTCATCCGAACCTACAGCAGCGCTAACCCTACGCCCGAACACCCCCGAGCCGAACCCCCGACCCGAAACCCTCAACGCCAACCCCTAAACCTGTAGCCCTAAGCTGCAGACACCCAAACTCCATGCAACTGTTCAAAGCCCGTCAAAGGCATCATCCATCCGTGGAAATGACAAACCCTTCCAGATCCGAAATAACTCTCTGTTGCAAGCCTTAGCCCCAAAATCTAAACCCCAAGCCCCTCAAGCCTAAGCCTCAAGCCCTCAACCCTAAACCGCAAGCCCTCACGCCTAAGCCCAAACCCAGCCCGCAACCCTAAACCCAACCCCAAACCCTCAACCCCAAACCCTACTCCCTGAACCCTAATCCCGAGGCCCTAATTCCTGGACCCCAATCCCGAATCCCTAAACACTATTCCCTAAATCTTTATCCCCAGACCCTCAACCATAAACCCCAAACCATAAACCCTCAACCATAAACCCTCAACAATAAACCCAACTATAAACATACTAAAAACCCTCAACCATTAGCCGAAGAGCACGTTGATGGTCAGGTCTGAGTCATCGGTATGGGCTTTCAGGCCAGAGTCTCGTCCCTCCTCCACAAGGAGAACTGAAGTTTAGCTCTCTCTGTTCAGGGTTCTAACGTCTGCGAGAGGAACAACGCGTTGCAACTTCAGTAGGGTTGCTACTTGACTTGTGGGTGGGTGGGAGTGTTTCTGATTTCGACTGATGTTCATGCACGAATTTGCTTTGAAGACGAGGTTAGGAGCTGTAAGGTCTCAAAGGCTAAGGCTTTCGGGCTGAAAGCCATCGGGTCGCAGGGTTTTTGGGATTGGGGAAACACGGAGGCCGCAGTTATGGGCTCAGAGCGTTTCACGCAGATACGACTCACGGCCGGAGTACATAGGCGGCGGGTCTGTCCTCGTAGTTGATGCAGTAAACCTGCTGATACGCCTCAGCTGCCAAGAAGCTTCGAAAGAAGGTTGCTGCACATTTGTTCCCATTCCCTGAGGTATACAAACAATACGTAGGTGGGGTCTATAGAGTCTATGCATAGTGCCTAATACAAGATTTTTGGAGTGATACTGCATTGGTACCAGCAGACTAACACCGATACCGCCAGCCACCATGGAACATGAGCCGCAAGCCGACTCTGCAGACCGTATGACCCCGGTCCCACGGACTCCCTCAAAACATTGTACTCCAGACAGTATTCCTTCGTCTTCCTCCTTCTAAATGCAGTATTAGCAGTATACTATACCCCGATCCCTATCCTAATTGTTCCGGCTTCTATTCTCTAGAGGTCCACGTGGCGATGCGGTGGTCTTCCGGAAAGAGCGCTTCGTCCACCCGACAGAGAACTTCCTCAGAAAGCCGGCGAGGGTTCAGGACTCACGGCTTAATATGGCGGCCTTAATCCTTAGAATAGAGTTTTGGGGTCCAATATACTAGAGTTATAATAAGGAACTATTTACTGTTGATGGACAAAATCCTGCATTACCCTTTATAAGGAATATACCATAGTTCCCATAGTTTAGAGTCCTTAGTGTCAAGCAGGATTTTGTCCATCAACAGTACCAAAATAGTATAGGCAATTAATAAAGCCCCTATATTAGCTGCTTCGGGCTTCGGTCAAGCACAAGAGCCGGGAAACCTTGGGTTCCCACAGAGCCCAATACCCCTTAATTCAGGAATATAGCATAAGTTATATTATTTTTATTAGTATTGGTATTATTAGTATTATTAGTATTATTAGTATTATTAGTATTATTAGTATTATTACTATTGTTACTATTATTATTATTGTTAGTATTTGTATTAGTATTATTATTATTATTATTATTATTATTATTATTATTATTAGTATTAGTATTGTTATTATTGATATTATTATTATTATTATTATTATTCTTATTCTTATTATTCTTATTATTCTTATTATTCTTCTTCTTATTATTTTAATCATTATTATTATATGAAGCCCTATATAATTTAATCCATATTCCTTAATTAAGGGGTCTCTGGGTTTAGGGCTTAAGTTATTAGGGGCCTCCACCTCCCCGTTTTCCTCCAACCCCAAGCACCACACTAGAGATTTTATAGGTAGAAGTCCAAAAGTTGGGAAGCCACTATATAGCAATAAAAAGGAGTCCCAGCACTAATTTTCCTTAATCCGGTTTCCAACTTTTTGTGGTTTACTATAGAGACCAGCCTGGAGGCGTGGGGCTTAGGGCCACTGTTTTGTGCATTGCTTGCTCCAGGTCCCAGGTCTGAGGTGCCCCTCTTGCAGGTTCATGGGTAGATATACGCAGGGTTGATAAGGCCCCTATCATGGGCGATCGCTATAGGTATCCTACTTATAACCCTACTTATAACCATCCATGACCCAAGTGAGCCCTAAACCCTCAAGTATCTATGAACCTCCAAGTTCCCCGAAGTGAGCCCTAAACCCTAAACCATCTATGAACCTCAAGTTCCCCCCATATGTTTTTGTCGAAGTCCCTTGCGCTGCCACAGTCTGGTCTCATAGCCCGATGAGCCGGAAGGCAACTAATGGTTTTGCCCATACCCTAAGACTCCAAGTAGCCCCAAAGTAGGTAGTATTTATAGACTTTAGATCCCAAAGTAGGTACTATTTGTATACTTGGAGTCTTAGGGATACTGTTGCAACTACAGTCACTATTGCTGTTGAAAGTATATATTACCATTAATACTGTTGCTGTTACTGTTCAATTGCTGGTATTATTGTTAATGGCTATTAATGCAATCACGGTGAACACGATTGGTGCTAGGGTTTGCCTTTGATGTGTGTAAGGACCTTTAGGTAAGGTTGGGGCCCTTCATGATCTAAACCGATGTAAAAGACCCTGCGATTAGCCCTGGTTCGTCCCTGTCAGAAACGGGCTTTGCACCCCTGCAATCAAAACCGTGATTCCGTGCTGTCTAAGCAGCTTTCAGAAGTCCGTCGAACATGCTCTGGAAACGATCGCTGATGGTGTTCAAGTACCTTCGAGGGTTGTTCACGTGCGGAGCTTCCTTACAACTTCCCGAATTGGGTCTGGGAATGGATGTCCTATAACTTTACGAGGTCTTGCAGGGTATATGCAAAATCGACCACTTCGCGATGTGAAGACTCCTTGGCGCTTACGAGGGGACCAATGTAGGGGATCCGCGGCCTTGTCGCACTGCTTGCTGGCTGCTGGGAAGTAAGGAACGACCCCATAGGGTGGCCTGCTGTAGGGTTGCATGCTTGGGGGTCGGCTCCTTGCAACTGCACATCCCCAGTCATAATATCTAACCTGGGAGAGCTTCTGAAAACTGCTCTTACATAGCCTCCCCCGAGAACCAAGAACATAACACGTAACAGCGAACTTCTCCATGGCCTGCTTGTACATCTCGTGAGGCCGCATCCAGTCCTAAACCCCAAACTCTTGAGCCCCAAACCCTAAGCCCTTAAACCCTAAACTTACACAAACCCTAAACCCTAAAACCTTAAAACACTAAACGCTGAACCCTTAAACCCTAAACTTAAACCCTAGACCCTAAGCCCTTAAAGCACTATACCCTAAACTCAAACCCGAAACCGTGAACCCTTAAAACGCTGAACCCTTAAACCCTAAACCCTTAAACCCTAAACTTACACCCTAAACCCTAGAAACCTTCTTCAACCCCTAAACCCTTAAACACTAAACCCCAAGCCCTGAAACCCTAAACCCCTAAATCCTAAACCCTGAAACCCTAAACCCTTAAGGCCTAAAACCTTAAACCCTAAACCCTTAAGGCCTAAACCCTTAAACCCTAAACCCTTAAGGCCTAAACCCTTAAACCCTAAACCCTTAAACCTAAACCCTGAAACCCTAAACCCTTAAGGCCTAAACCCTGAAACCCTAAACCCTTAAGGCCTAAACCCTTAAACCCTAAACCCTTAAGGCCTAAACCCTTAAACCCTAAACCCTTAAGGCCTAAACCCTTAAACCCTAAACCCTTAAGGCCTAAACCCTTAAACCCTAAACCCTTAAGGCCTAAACCCTTAAACCCTAAACCCTTAAGGCCTAAACCCTTAAACCCTAAACCCTTAAGGCCTAAACCCTTAAACCCTAAACCCTTAAGGCCTAAACCCTTAAACCCTAAACCCTTAAGGCCTAAACCCTTAAACCCTAAACCCTTAAGGCCTAAACCCTTAAACCCTAAACCCTTAAGGCCTAAACCCTTAAACCCTAAACCCTTAAGGCCTAAACCCTTAAACCCTAAACCCTTAAGGCCTAAACCCTTAAACCCTAAACCCTCAAGTCCATGAAGCCGGGAGGCCAGCGGGAGCCGAGCAGGAGCCCTGGAGAGATGAGACCCGAGGACTCCGAAAAGGAGCGGAAGCTCGCGACCTTCCGTTTAGGGTTTAGGGGTTTGGGATTAGGGGTTTAGGGTTTAGGGGTTTAGGGTTTAGGGGTTTAGGGGTTTGGGTTTAGGGTTTAGGGATTAGAGGTTTAGGGTTTAGCGATTAGGGTACAGGGTTTAGGGTTCACAGGGTTCCAGGTTCAGGGTTGATGATTCAGGGTTTAGGGGTTCGGATTTAGGGTTCAGGGTTTAGGGTTCGGGTTCAGGGTTTAGGGTGGGAGGGAGGACGGGAGGGAGGAAAGGCGGAAGGGAGGGAGGCTTCACGAGTTAGCTGCTTCTCTGTCTTCGAATTGTTAGGGCTGGGGTTTTCGGGTTCCACGTTTTCGGGTCTAGGGAAGTTCGGGTCTAATGTGCAGGGGAGTTTTTAAGGGTTTAGAGTGCATCACTGTAGCTCTATCTCATTTGCTAAGCAGCCACGATCATGTCCGGGCAAGGTTGGTGTTTCGTTTTCTGAGGGTTGAGGGTATAGGATGAGATTGAAAGTTTCGGGACCGAGGGCGTGCATATGGCACATGCTCCAGCATCAGCGCAGGTGGAGAAATCTCAAAACCTTGGGCGAGCCACGAGCAAGCTTTGCAAGCTGGTCTGCGATCTCATTGCCCACATGGGACTTCATGTGATACACATTGAAACGATGGATGTGCCCAACCAAGGTCCGTGCTTGCATGATTCCCCTATTATGCGGGCCTGAATAATTAGACGAGGGTTTTGGGGCATAGTATACTACACCTATACTATAACTATAATAAGGAAACCCCAAGATAATTTTGGCATCTATGTAGGCCCCTATGTTACACCTACGAGCGAGGTCGGCCCGAAACGGAGCCAGCCCCATGCCCCTGCAGTGAAGCCAATGGCTCTGGCCACCCTCCCCCCCCTCTTAGGTTATTTTTGTTTTTGTGCGGGCCCTTGTTCCGACTACATTACCAGAGGGAATACCTTAACATAGGCTCCACCTGGTAAGGTATTCCCTCTTAGGGTTTAGACAGGCTGAGGGTTTAGGGCTTTGGGTGCCAGCTAGAGATTTCCGGTGTACAACTCCGTTTCTTGACGGCAACAGGCTAGCAAGGAATCATGGAATTTTCCGTCGGATATCAGTAGTAGTGAGTCCTAGGATCCTCTACAACCGGGTCATCCAGACAACATCCCCGGTTTTAAAACCTCCCCCCGTATTCGTGGATGCCGATGGGTCGGATAGCTCAACTTTCGAAACTGACCGCTGAAACCATGTGTGGCAACCGATTAATCTAAGTCCAGAGTGTAGGAAATGCTAATTGGCTTGGGTCGTAAATCCCGGATAAATGTCGTCTTTAGACTCAGAGGGTCAGATCGCGGAACCCTGGCCAAAGCCAGATTTAGAAACGTTTCAGCAGGCCTTGAACTCTCTTTACAAATGTTTTGGACGGGGTCTACCAGGACTTGTAAACCCTAAACCATAAATCCTAAACCCTAAACCATAAATCCTAAACCTTTTCATAAGCACCATTTCTGAAATCCTCGTAGCTTTACAGTCAGTGCGGGGGGGCCTCCTGCTGAATCCTCGAACAGAAGCCGGGATCAAGTAGCCTGGCAAGGACGGGAGGGTCTAATATGCGGGCCTTAATAATCAGAATAGGTTTCCTTTAACGGGCTCCATAAGGGTTACTATAAGGTATCAATAAGGGTTCTATAAAATAGGCCCCTCTATCGGCGTCTTTATGGTTGTCTCGGTGTTTAGGGTTTAGGGTCTTGGAATTAAACAAGAAGGTCGAGGGAAGCAGGCGGCGATCGCAAGGAGGACGCAGGCCATAGACCTTAAGCTGCCCCTAAACTGGCTACCCAGTCATCGAACACAGTGCCTGCAGCAACGAGAATAGGTACATCAGCAGCGATAAGTCGTTGTAGTTGTTAGTCGTCATCCTAGTCGTAGGAGTAGTAGTCGCCGTCGCAGCAGCAGCAGGAGTAGTAGCAGTAGTAGTCGTCGTCGTAGTGGTAGTGGTAGTGGTCGTGGTCGTGGTCGTGGTGGTGGTTGGTGGTTGGTGGTGGTGGTAGTGGTGGTAGCAGCAGCAGCAGCAGCAGCAGCAGCAGCAGCAGCAGCATTGATGGCAGTAGTTGTACTGATTAGTGGAAGTTCTCGTGTCAGCAGCAGCAGTGGAACGTAGTAGCAGTAGCAGCAGCAATATCAGCCAAAATAACACCAGTGGTTAGATGACGAGTCATCAGTATATTCTAAGACCGTCTCTTAGGAAGTAATTGCCAGAGAATCCGTACGAAACCCTCCTTCAACCCGAAATCATCAATCCCACTCAATTCATGTCGAGGAGCGGTAAGGAGAAGGCATCATCCAGGTGGGCCTTGGCGAGACCTTCGCGTAGGGTGCAGCTATCTTCTGGGCTTTGACGTTTAGGATCTTTAGGGTGGGTTGAGAAGTAATAATCCCCTGAAAGCCTAAACCCGGAAACCCTAGACCCTCTAAGCCCCTAAACCCCTGAATATCCTAAACTCCCTATAAACCCCTAACTTCATCACAGTGCGTTCAGAGCCCGAGGGAAGACCTTACGTTTGGAGTTCAAAGAGGTTTAGGGTTTAGGATTTAGGGTTTCAGGGTTTATGGTGTAAGGTTTTAGGAGTTTCTGAAAATGGGGGACTCTAAGGAAAATAGGGGACTCTAAGAAAGTACTCTAAATAGTAGGATCCTTATTATAAGGACCCAAAGTAAGGTGCCCCTATTTTCGGAAACTCCCATTTCGAGCTTAGGGTTTCCGAAAATAGGGTTTAGGGTAGGGGCCTTAATAGTTAGAATAGGGTTTTGGGACCCGTTATACTATAGTTACAATAAGGAACCCCCCAAAAGAAAATGTGTGATTAATAAAGCCCCTGTAGTAATCTTCACTACTCCTTCGTTGGGATGATCGGACTTGGGTCGTTTAAGACTCCGGACAGGTCGGGGAGGTTTCTTCCGGGCTCATTGTCGGCAGTTTCCGGGCTCCTTCCGTCCATTTCGGGATACATGCCAAGACCTTCCTCAAGGGATGCCATAAGCCAAAGCTCGGAAGGCAGAATACAGATGAGGGTGGCGCGGCAGGGGGCCTGCAAGATAATACGACAAAGCCTCATCGCAATTCTGTCTCTGAGCCTGGCTACAGCCGACCCCGTTGCTGTCCGTTTACTTCGGCCATGTCACCTGAATCAGCTACCTACATCCCCCCTACCCTCCATCATGTCCTAAGCAGACACTGTTGGGCAACTTTAATGTAAGGCCTGCATATCGACACCCTAAACTCCAAACCCTATAGCAAATCCTGGTAGACACCCGAGGCTGAGACTAGTATCCCAAAAGGTATTGTGCAGTTGACAAAAAGAAACCTAAGACCACACGAATGGAAAAAAGGGCCCACTGCGAAACCCAGGTTTAGGGTTTAGGGTTAGGGTTTAGGGTTAGGGTTTAGGGTTAGGGTTTAGGGTTTAGGGTTAGGGTTTAGGGTTAGGGTTTAGGGGGAAACCCAGGAGAGGGACGAGGTGAACGATCGATGCTGTCAGGAGACTTCGGATCGCTGCCTGCCATGGCAGAGGGTTCGTGCTTGAAACAGCTTACTTATCCAGCATCCTAGGGGAACTAACGGTTAACCTTTGGGATTACATATAGCGATTATACTACCACGCAAGAACTAACGGTTAACCTTTGGGTTTACATATAGCGGTTATACTACCAAGCAAGGTTAAAGGTTAGCACCCTACTACTCAGAACAGTCTGACAGACAAGGGAGGTCTTGAGCTCGAGACTGAGACATCAGTTAGGACGGCACTCGGGCCCGAATCTGACCTTTGGTTAGTAGGGGAGGAATGGGGTACTATTATATCTACTTTTACCACCGTTCTTCCATCCCTACTAACCAAAGGTAAGGAATGTCAAACTCAATCTAAGGCACTTGGGCTTTTGACAGTCCTGTGCCCTAGGCCTGCTGAGAAATCGGGGTAGCAGTACCGAGTCACGGCGATCTGCCATCAAGCTATCCCAAGGCAT